GTTTTGGATAATGTGTGAAAATGTAAAAGTAAAAACCATATACAAATATCATTAAGGGAAACTTTAAACCTGAGGTTTTCGAAACCCTACGTCCTGAGACTCTACGCTAGGAAAACAAAAACTTCTCAAACTTCAAACTTTGTATACTTTTTAAGAATTGGCTATTATCAAAATCCAAAAAGGGACTAAACTGCTAACCTTATCATAACCTTCATCTCTAAAAATATTTTGATTCTGCTGATAATATCAAAGAATCTCAAAAAGGAACACTTTCAGAAAAACACAGAAAGCACTTCATAATTTCAAGAGGTAAATATTACGATAAACGAACAGTTTCTGTCAAGATTACATTTTTTTTGCAATTTTAATACCCATCCATGTATAATTCTTTTGCATACAAGTTGACGGAGAAGTCTTTGAGTAGCTCTTGATCGTTGTCGCCATGACATTCCTAAAATGTCACGTGTTTCCATCTCTGACGTCACGGATAACCACCTTAGCAGGGTAGAGCTACAGGTCAGCAGGGATTCCAGAGAAGCTTTCACGTTTANATCGTTGTCGCCATGACATTCCTAAAATGTCACGTGTTTCCATCTCTGACGTCACGGATAACCACCTTAGCAGGGTAGAGCTACAGGTCAGCAGGGATTCCAGAGAAGCTTTCACGTTTATGATTAATCAGGTCATATCGCGGCGGTCGACGACGCTGCCCTTTAGTACCTACTCTGCTGAACTGTTCATCCGTGACGTCACGAACGGATTCATCTGTTATTTTTTGGTAATTTACGTAACGCCGATCTCGATCCTAGTTGCTGCATCGTAAGTATAACTGTATATGTAAACTCCCATGTAAATAATCATTGATAAAATTGAAATTGGGGGAAAGCATGAAGTTGGAAAAAATGTGTTTGTTTATCGTAACACTTACGTCTTCAAAGCAAACAGTGTTTCTATTTGAGATTCTTCCATATTATTAGTAGAATCAAAATGTTCTTAGTTATCAAGATTATATCAAGTTTAACAGTTTATTCACTTTTTGGACTTTGATAATAGCCACAGTTGTTAAAAAGAATACAAAGATTTAAATTTGAGAACTTTTTGTGGTTTCTCTAGCGTAGGGTCTCACATAGGGCATAGGGTTCCGAGAAAATCAGGTTTAAAGTTTCTCTTATTAGTGTATATTGTTTAATGTAGTAATAATTCAAACAAATAATTCAAATTTCGTTATTTTT